GCGGGGGGAGGGGGAGGGGTGGACATTGACAGAGATTTTGAAAACTCAAAATGTTCACAAAGGGGGTCTTCATTGGTTCAAAGATAGGTAGGTATGACAATTATTTTATATGTAGTTTTGTTTTATTGACCAAAATGTATATTTTTGTTTTTTTTGGGATATTCGGTATTCCTCTTGAAATTTAAATTTAATTTGGAATTTGCGTTTTAATATTTTATATTGGAGATAAATATTTTTTAACTGATGTTTAATGTTGGTTTTAAAGTTGAGTTTAAAATTTTTAGATTGAATATTAAAGCATTTTCAAACTGATATTCAGTATTTGCCTTGAAGTTCGATTATATTTGAATTTGCATCTAAAAATTTCATATTAGAGATCAAAGCATTTTCTTTCAAAGGACGATTTCATTTAAGGCTCAAACATAATAATTAGTTTCATCAAGAATGGAAGTTAGGTATGACAATTATTTCATTGGTAGTTTTTGTTTTGTTGAACAAAAATAGTTATTTTTTGGTTTTCTTTTGCTTGGTATGTGGTATTTGTCTTGGAGCTTAATCTTAATTTCAAATTTGTGTCTAGAAATTTCATATGAGAGCTAAAACGTTTTTTAATTGATATCTTTACATTTGTTTTAGAGTTTGATTAAATTTGAAGTTGCGTTGATGAGTTTTTAATGGGGAATAAAAGCACTTTTCAAATTAATATTCAGCATTCGCCTCGGAGGTCGATTAAATTCAGTTTCGCATCTAAAAGTTTCATATTAAGGATAAAGTGTTTTCTATCATAAGACAGTTTCATTAATGGCTCAAACACAAAACGTTTAATCAGAAATGAAATGTTACTTACCACTTTACTATAATCGTTGTTTATGAGCAAATGCATTATATTACTCACCGACAAGGGAGAAACTAGCCCTTCAATTACGTGTTCAGCCGAAACCACTACCTTTAGTACAAAATTTGTATTTGTATCAAAAAGACGAACTCAATAAATTTTATTTAAAAAACTAAAATCATGTACTCATAAACTTCAAATCACTCGTGTTTTGTATTAAAACAATATATCATTTACATAGAATCGGATCGTTTGGTATGGTTATTAATTATTAATGTATCAACTTGTGGATAGTACTTTATATTATATCTTACTGATTTTGTTCAACAATAAATGCAAGTTGCAAGTAAATTTTCACTGTTTTTTTTTTTTTTTTGCCTTCAGAATATATTTTAGTTGGTTGATTAGCCTATTGTCGAACTACATGTGTTCATTTTCAAAGTGCTTTTCTTTAAGTACTATATTAAACTCTCCACTAAAAAATTACTTACATTTATTTTATATCCATAAAGTCATCTAAATTAAATTAATTAACTACACCAATAGCATATTCAGTGTAATGGCATGAGCGGGGTCTAGCTAGAAAGGGTGGTGTGTATGTAGCCTTATTTCTACCTTATGAAGATAGTGAAGTAATTTTCGATAGATCCTCAACTCGAGTAAGCATATTTAAAATCAAGTGTGTAAAGCAAATTAAATATAAAAGTGAAGAAGTCATGTTGAAAACAACTAAGAAAAGAACAAGTAGCAACAACAATTCATTAATATGATAACTGAAGCAATAGAAACAATTGATATTAATAAGGCATAATACATACACATGACCCTTAACTTGACGTCAGTTGGCAACTTGACCTTTAACTTTGGGTGTGCATAAGTAGGCACTTGAACTTTTATAAAAATTGAATAAATAGACACATTCGTCCTACGTGGCACCTTACATGACAATTTTGTGTCCTATGTGGCGTCCTATGTGTATTATGTCAAGTAGGACACGTGTGTCTACTTGTTCAATTTTAGTCAAGTTTAAGTGTCTACTTGTGCACACTCAGGGTGTGTTTGGTATGAAGGAAAATGTTTTCCTAGAAAATGTTTTCATGGAAAACAAGTTGATTTTTGACTTATTTTCTCATGTTTGGTTGGTGAGTAGAAAATATTTTCCGGAAAAGATTTTTAGTGTTTGATTTATGAATGAAAAATATCTTTTATTTTTACTAAGGTAGAAAATAATTTTTGAAATTGAAAATATTTTTTAAAAACAAACTTAAATTTTTTGGGGGTGGGGTGAGGGTGGATGAGGGGGGGTCGAAGGTAGGGGTGAAAAATTGAAATTTTGAAGTTGAAAATATTTTTTAAAAACAAACTTAAATTTTTTTTGGGG